TTTCCTCCTCTCCAGTGAGTAATTTTTGGTGTTGAACTTGTCTCTAACCTTTCACTGCTCCCTTTTGTTTGGCAACAGCTGTTATCATGGATTTCTTTTTTTTTTTTTGCCTCTCTTTTTCTTTTCTTTCTTTTTTTTTTCCCCTGGTAAGCTGTGATTGCTCCGGGCAAAACAGGAGCAGATGGTGTTTTGCTATGCATGAATGGAGCGTTAGAGGAGTTGGATTGAATAGGCTAAGTTTTGAATGGTGTCTACACAGCACCTGCCTCTTGTAGCAGCAGGGACATCCTAGTGGCATGATCTGTCTTGGCTTCGCTGCCATCGTAAAGAGATGAAAGAAAGAAACAGAGAGAGGGGGAACCTTGTTGGGCACCGTCCACATTTATCGATTTTCCCCGCAAAGTCGTGGCATAATGTGMTGTACAGTCAGTTTGAGTTAATTGGATGTGACACAGCGTGCACATGTAATCTATCACTCCGCTCTCCTGGTACACTTTATCAGTTTTGTTGCCATAGAGACATGTTGGCTCTGTAATAACCTATATTAACAGGCTAAGTAAGTTGCAATGAAAGGCAATTTCAGAGTTGGGGACCTCTGCTGAACACAAAGCCCATAAAATACTGATGAAATAAATCGTGGAGTGGCAGCAGCAGGGGGAGGGTGTGCGAAAGGGGAGGGTGGAGGTTTGGGGAGGGGGTGTGTGTTGGGGGGGGTGTAGAGTTCTTAAAGCAAACAAAGTCCAAATAAAAATAAACTGCCATCCTTTCCAGGTAACGCCAGGACATCTGTCAACCTCTGGGGTATGATGATCTGTCACAATAAAACTAGCCTTTTTTTTTAATCAATTACAGCTTGCAGAGTTTGAAAATAAATTTACAAAACACACTAACAAGGCATGAAACCAAAATAATCTGAACCAAATCAGCTTCTCACTCAAATACATCTGCTTTTGTAATGATGACAGCTCTGTCCTAAACAGTGTTTCTATATGTTTGTGTTGTGACCTTTCTGACTGACAGCAGGATAATGGGGATTTGCTTATCTACTCGTGCGTTCTGATCCTGAATAAAGGCTGCTCCAGTGTATTTAAAACATGAAAAGTCTATCACGTAAAATAATAATAATAATAATTTAAATAATCCATCTGAAACTGTTTAATATCTCACACACCATGAGTTGTTTTACCATTAGATACAAGCAGATCATCTTCCGATTTCAGATGGGTAATTACACGCTGGTAATAATTTACTGCTGTCTGGAAAGAGGATTAGTTATTAACAGCAGCTCCAATAGCAGGGCTGTAATTGCAAAGAGCAGTGCTGTGTGTGCGGTGCGTTCAACAGGATGGATCAAAACAGAGATGACACGTGACGCGTCAGGCTTACTTCACCCGAGTTCAACAAAAAAATGGCTAATGGTTGTTTCCCTCTGTCTCCAGGCAACCTCACTGTACCTAAATCCAGAGATAAAATCTGTGTATAAAAACGTGTGGTGCATTAAACATGAGATTGTGAAAGATKAGTAAATAAATACTGCATAATATGAACTATACGTGTGATTATTTATGTTTGTAGGAATTGTTTTCCGTGTGTGAATTTAATATATCTAACCATAAAAAAGATTTGTTTTAACATTGTTACAGATTCAAATTGTTTTTTTTTTTTTTAGGCTTTGACTTTTACCATCTTGTTTTTCAGTTGTTTAAGACACTTCCTGATTTATTTTTGAAGTATTGATTTTGTTGTCTGTCCTGCCTCTCTCCTCCTGTGTCACAGCTGCTCTGGACTTGTAATTATCATCTGTTTCGTTTTTGGCTTCTGTTGTTTAATTTCAAGTTGTTAGAAATGTAACAATTTTCAMTAGCTTTTTTTACAATGTTTTAAAATTAAATATTAAATAATGATTTGCCTCCCTCCCAGTGGACTTTTGCTTTTGACTTAATTCTTTATCTTTCCTGCTTTCATGTAAATGTTCTTATAATGTTACCATTATTTGAGAAAATAAACAATAAAGAAAAAAATGTCACAACTGCATTCATTTGTAAAATCAGGATCACTGAATGTGCTCAGCTGTGCATCATCGCAAGAACTGTGGTGCTGCTTTAGCGTGGCAGGTCAAAAGTTCCTTAAACAAATCCTAACGTGTGTCAGGGATGTTAACAGTCCAGTCAATTAAACAGAGCCCCCAGCAACCATACACCGCAAGGGCAAAGTTTGTATTCATCAGAGATGTTGGTAGTTTTCTCTGTGAAGCTCATTATWGCCTAGTCAAAAAGTCCCTAATCACAATCAATTAAGAATATGACTTTCAGTCCAAATTCTGTGTTCCATGTACTTGGAAATCAGAGTTTTAGGGAGAGGTAGGTACACTTATTTTACTACAGTACTTGTAATTTCACCAACTTGTACATTTTTTGTTACATCCAAAACATAAAAATAATACTTTTACTTCTTTACATTAAAATGTACCACCTGGTTACACGTTACCAATTTAAATATGACCAGAACTCAGAGTTGTTAATGCACTCTAAAATATGAAGTGTTGAATTTACTTAACCAAGTTATGTCAACTGGGCAGCATGGTGGCCCGGTAGAGATGTTGCCGCTCATCAAGAAGGTTGCTGGATGTTAGAGTATATGTTTTCTCTTTGCATAAATGGGTTTTTTCCACATACTCTGTTTTTTTCCCACAGACCAAAAARATGACATTTAGCCTATCTGATAACTCTAAACTGTAGGTGTGAGTGAGACAGAGAAAGGCTGTTTGTCTCTATAGTGATCCTGTGATGGACTTGTGTACTGTCCCAGGTGTACCCCACCCCTCGCACAGTGACTGCTGGATATGGGCACCAGTGACCCCTGTGATACTGAAAGGAAGAAGSGAGTATAAATAATGGATGGATGGAAGTTCTGTCAACAGGTTCCACCAAACCAAGTTGAGTAAATTATTCAATTCAGTTTAGTGGAACAAGTTTGGTTAAGCAAAATTAACACTTCATTTCTTAGAGTGCGTGTGTGTAAAAGTACTTTTACTTGTACTTTTCCAATTATTGTGAACAGTTTTATGACTTTCACTTTTTTACCCATCATTTTCTGTTAAGGTGTTTTTTTTTTTTTACTTTGATTTAGTTTTTTTCCCCAAGTACTTTATATACCTCTGGTTTTAGCTATATATATAAAAACTAGAATTACCACAAAGAGGGCAAATGTGACTCAGAAAATCAGATTCTTCGCTGGCTCTGACTTGAAAATCCAATATGGCTGCCTAGCACATAGAAAAATGGTGTTGGCTGCTGTAAAAAAAACTTCTGTTGGTTTGAATCTCATTAAATCAGTCACATCAGACACAAAATGATGAATTCCATCTATTTGAGAAACAAGCTGCTGCAGTGTTTGAGTCCATACAATGTAGTGAAATGCATCATCAGCTCTAAACCTAGTTAATCTAGTGACTGAGCAGAACATTTAACAAATCATCCTGGGTTTCAGACTTCCAGCTGGGACACACTGAAGTTGTATGTGATGTCAGTCGCAGATCTGACTTTCGAGGTAACTGGAATGCAGCAGAACGTCTCCTGGTAGACTTATTCAGGATAAAAGAAGAAATGTAAATTGGTTGTTTCTGTTTTAAAGCGACAAAGTTTACATTGCCCAATCAGAGTGRCCGAGTCTGTGAACAGGCTGGGAGTGGGTCTGCAGCATGGGCTGGGTGGTCAGATGGTCAGTGTCAGCAGGGCTTTTGTTCCACTTACATTGTATCTGTGCACTGAACGGGAAAACAACAAAAGAGCCAAATCAATCATTAAAATACAGAATCCCTCAGCTTCCACATCTGACTCCTTAGTCATCCTCGGCACAGTGCCGAACAACTGACCTCAGCGGGGAAGGAGGGTACAATTAGGTCACTTCACGATTGCATTACTCAAATGACATATTAATGTCACAGTGCCCTTCATGCGTTTCATCAGTGTTAGTTAATGATGAGGACGGGAAGAAAGAGGAGCAAAGGATATTGATTGCTTCATGTTTCTATGATGATATCACACCGTGAAAAATCTCTCTGTCTATCACACAAAGCAGGAGAAATTTATTTATTCAGCCATTCAAATTACCCCGAGCTCCATTATAGGAGGAGCAGCGTTATTATTCTTGTAAATGATGTGTGTGGATAACAGTGTTTTGAAAATATATGTAACCTTTTTATTGCACAGTCCCATAACTCCAACCCTGGCTGTGAGATATTTGTACACACAGTGACCGCAGTACTGAGGGGTTATGGAATAACAAGGAGCTCCATGCATTATTAATGGGCTCTGCTGTGAATCTGTTCAGAATAATAACAGCGATTTCGCAGAGCCTCATTACTGTGTGTTTTTAAAGCATGTGTTTGGTATCCATGGACACCTCGCTCTCACATTCTCCTCTTCTCCACTCTTTATTAGGATTCAGGTCAGGCGAGGCACTTGCTGTTTTTAATTTTCATTTCATCATAAGCACTTTAAGACTGTTGCCAGCGCTTATTTGCGGTTTTCCTGCAGACCTCTTTGCTCGGGCTTCTGACAGGACAGATGCTGCAATTAATCACGGCAGAGAAATGGGCATCATTTCCATGTTGAGCTGAAAAGCCAATCACTGCAGCGGCAGCAGCGGAGTCAGGCCTCGGCACCAGCTACAAATGCCTTCTTAAAACAAGCTGATTGAAAACAAGCTGAAATTTGAACGTTCGGTCAAGCCGCCATCATAGGAACTTGAAAGAAAAGTGTACCTTGTAATTTGTAATTAACATTAACTTGTATTTAAAATCTTACAGCTGCTGTAAAAGAGAGGGGAAAAAAACCTTCTGGCCAATGGATTTACAGCCTATTGTGAAGATATGATAATTATTGTTTGCCTGCCTTCCCTCCCCCGCTCGCCGTATTATTCAAGGGAGCTCAGCAAACCCCCAGGGATGTCTTAGAAATGAAGCGATTTTAAGAAAGAAGCAGAATCCAATGCACTGGTGTGTGAGAATAGGGACTGTTATTGAGACAAGTACCAGTTACATGCTGACCCTGTCCAGTTTCAACACACAGTTACAATGAGCTTCCATTGAAAGCACCGAGAAACAGCCGTACTACAATGGAGCCGACATGAATGCTTGTGTTTCCCGTCCAAAGTATTTTTTTTTTTTTTACCTTTTACGGACTTCGATAAAAAAAAAAAACATAAAATGTATTTTATAAATACCTTGTGAAAAACCGAAGGTTACAGTTATGTTTGTTGCTTTTGAATAATGATCGAGATCTGACAGGACTGCACACTATCACAAAATAAGTAAATATTGCTGGCTATTGCAATTTTAATCAGGATTTTGCAACATTTTCTGCACTTTTGTTCCATTCACAACTCTCACAGCACGCTGTGTTCTTTAGCAGCTCGGCCACTATTATTTAAATTGGATGTGGGCATTTAGGCCGCAGTGCCAAACACATTATTGACATAGGTTGAATTTCTTGCAATCTTTTGTGCTAATGATATTGCAGACACTGATAGTTGTGATGTTTTTTTTTTCTTTTCATATTTTGTGCAGCACTAGAAACCTTTGTTGAAAGGATGGCTTCAAAGAAACCAGTTTCTCCAAATAAATATTTGACTGATAGTTTAATTCTTCAACAGAGACACAAAGAAATATATAATACTTCATACAAAATTTATGGCTACGATCATATTAGTGATGGAATGTCTCTGGAATTGTCTTCATGGCTGAGCAAAAACTCCAATGATAAAATTTCCTATCATGAGCTGCAAACAAAATTTTTCAGGAAAACCTCATACCAAATATGCATTTTTCCTATTGACAGTTCCCATATGCAGTTGGTTTGTAAGCAAAATACAAACAGAATGAACTGCTGCTATTGTAACTCATAAAAAAGTATAAAAGAGCAGAAATGCACTATGTGATACAGCAATTCACAGGTCATTTAACAATGTTTTAATTAAAGCCTCACATATTAAAACTTTACAACATGTGATATGAAAAATGTACATCTCCTCCTCTTTTTTTAAACCCCACTAGGGACTTCTGTACAGCTGGCAAAAAATACCTCCAATATCTTTTTTTTAGTTGGCTTTGGCAGTGCAACAAACTGGCTCTGCTATTTTTCTGTTTTCATATTTTTCTTAAACAATGACAGCATTAACGAGCAGAGTAAAAATTCATAAATTCCCCAAACTATCTCCCTCGATCCAGATTATTATTTTTTTTATTTACCATAAAATATCCCCTTTGTTACACAAAATAAAAACATAATTTAATTGTTAAACATCTGACATAAAAACAAATAGATTAAAGAAGGTATTTTTTGGGGGGTGTGGGGTGCGAGGCCAAGTAGGGCGAGACTGCCTGTTACACAGTTTTGGGCAAATTATTTTGAAATGTGAGATGTCGTCGCTCCCCTCTCTACAAAACATGTACAGCAGATCACAGCTCCAGTTTGATGGTGTGATGACATGAATGATTTATGGCAGTTTCTMTCTCAGTCAGTTCAGTCATTCATCCATATAACTGTGTCCAAAGACCTTTTACTTCCAGTTCTCCTCCTTCGTCTGAGACGTTGTCTGCATTTTTGACATGGTTTGACTCTGTCTTCAAATATCACTGAGCCTTCACAGTGTGTAGATTTGAACAGTTGCATCTGCAACATTGACGGAGGAAGGAAAGTTATATATATATATATATAAACTGGCCAGTGTGGGAACAAAGACTGATGTGTGGGGGATTTCAGTACGGGCAATGAGTGTTTAAAAAAGAAGAAGAAAAAAACAAAGAATCCAAATGTTTTTAAGCTGTGCTAAACTGACATACTGGCCTCATAAATAAAGCTTTATTGTTAAATAAAAGACAGAAAGATAACCATCTTTCAGCATTTTTTGTGCCCAGTCAGTTAAAATAAGCAACTGAAAGACCTCACAAACAAACAGGCTGCTGCCACATCTCAGCATATTTTATGAACTAAAACGCCGCTAAAATGTTTCCCTCCCAGTCCTGTACACATATGTGCATATCTGTCTACAACAATGGACAAGTTATTTGTATAACATTCTAAATCTTACACACTTCTTAAGTGCAACTTAGAAAAGCAACATGGAATGATGCTTTTATTCTATTCCTGTTCTTTGAGATAGGATTTCCATTTGGCTCAGTAAATGCTGACCTGGGACAGGACCTGGGCATGGGCCTGGATTTGGGAAGGGTGTGGCTGCTGCTGGGGAGCTGGCTGGGGGCTGCCGAGGGATGCAGAGCCTCCTACTGAGTGGGGGGTACCAGGAGAGTGCTGAGGTGGGGAACACTGGGATTGGTGCTGCTGTTGTTGTTGCTGCTGCTGCTGCTGCTGCTGCTGTTGTTGCTGCTGCTGCTGGAGATGTTGAATCTGCTGCTGATGCAGTTGATGTTGCATCTGCATGTGCTGCAGTTGCATCTGCTGCTGTTGTTGTTGCTGCTGCTGCTGCATGTGGTGCTGCTGCAGTTGCTGCTGAAGGTGATGCTGAAAATGCTGATGCTGCATCTGCTGCTGGATTTGTTGGTGATGCATCTGTTGCTGCTGCATCTGATGATGCTGGAGCTGCTGTTGCATCTGCTGCTGCTGCTGCTGCTGCTGGAGCTGCTGCATGGCATGCTGTTGCACCGACTGCATGGGTGGACTCATCTGGGACACCGCTGTGGACTGAACACCCGCCACCATGGCTCCTCCAGCACCCATCTGGCCAAGCATTTGTGGTGGCATCCCAGAGGACATGTTCTGGTGGGATACTGTGACCGAGGTCACAATCTGGCTGCCCCCAAGTCTCATCTGCAGAGGTTTTGGGGCGATGGCTCGAGGCAAAGCTTGTTGCAGGGCCTGGGAGGCTGATGGCATGTTAGGGTGCTGGTTGAGGGGTGACGGCAGCACRAGTCCTGGAGACAAGCTGGTGGAGGCCAGGGTCTGTTGAACTGTTCGAATTGTCTGGGCCTCAGCTGATTCTGCTGCAGCCTGAAAGGAAAACATATTACTCTTTTAAGAAATCAAAATTTTCTGCCTTAAATTTAAAGAAAGACATTTGTCTAAATTCTGGGCCTTCTTCTGTTACAAGTACCGTATTTATTCGTGTATAATATGATCTCATGTATAATACGACCCCCCCTATTTTTAGCCTAAAAAGCATAAAAAAATTTAATTCTCATCTAATTTCATATAGACTTCAGGATTTTTAAGCATTTGCAGTCTTTATATATAACAGTAAAATTATCAATTGACTGTTGTATCAGTTTTTAATTTTATTTTAACAACATATGTACTAAAAGGTACACAACAACAAAAGTATAACTACTGTACAACAAAAACTATCAAATGTTCGTTTGTTAACTGGTGTGATATAACAAACAGATGTGGTTCTAACAAGTGTGAATGAAGCTGGATTAATAAAAGCCTTTAAAATCAGGCTCACCATCATCAGTATCATTAAAATTTTCTGGTATCCCTCCTCTGCAATAAAGGCATCAGAATCCCACTCGACAACAATCTCATCCTCTGTGTCTCGTGAGCGCCCTCTCTGGTGGGGAAACTTTTTTTCAGGTAGACCAACTTTTACAGAACACCGGTAGATGGCAGCCATTACAGCCGACCATGTGTTTGTTGTTGGAGCGGCCCGGTCGCATATTAATATCACTAGTTCGTTATCATTACTTAGCTGCAGGACTGCCTTTTGTTTCTTTTTTTTTCACATCATGTTGCCTGCTTAGATCTGTTACTCTCTCGCTCGGAGGCATGAAGGAGTGTCAGAGGTAAGCTCGCTTCAACTGCTTTTTACGACGGGGTTTCATTTCCGGACTCAGGGATTTTGTGAATGAGGCCGATATTTCAGTTAAAATACATCAGCAAAAATATTTATCTGAGTATAGTACTACCCCCCAACTTTGTGCATGATTTTATGGATTCAATTTTACATATTATACTTGAATAAATATGGTACTTTAAATTTATTAACAGACAAAAAAAATACATTTTCAGATTAAAGTAACAGGTCTCACCTTAGAAACCAGGCTAGCGCGATATGCAGCAAGAGCTTTCAGATATTCTTTCTTGGCAGCTTCTGTTTTGCTTTTATAAACCTGTGAGGACATAAAAGTGTTTGAATGAACCGATCCCACGTCTAGCGAGGATACTGTAACATACAATTGCAGGTATGTACAATAAATTGTTTTATAATTCTTCATTCCTGTAAACTTTTGTCACACACACAAATACACTATGTGATTTTTCTTTCCAAATTTCCAAATGTGACTAAGTATTGGAGTACCTGTTTCTGTTCCTCCCCAAGGCCATCCCACATAGATGCTACAATCTTAGACACTTCTCCAAAAGTWGCATTGGGATTCTGGCCCTTGATCGCAGCCTGGGTGTCTCTGAAGAACAGGGCATAAGCTGACACTGGCTTTTGGGGCTCATTAGGATCCTTCTTCTTTTTCTTCTTAGGAGTCTTGGGTTTTTTCGCYGGATCAATTGGGGCTGGTCGCTTTTCTCCAATTACCTGTAATCATWCACAACTTTGATGAAAAACTTAAACTTTAACTTTATACCAGTTTCCTTCAGTCATTTACAACAACTGACCAAATCTTTTGAGTCTTTCTTACTCACCCTGTTGCTGTCGTCCTGGTCGTCTTCGTTGATGGAGCTGGAGGGCGAGGGTGTGGCGGACTTGCTGGCCGGTGGTGATGGGGACGTATGGGTGATGTTAGGTCCTGCCATGTTTAAACTCAGCTGTGCATTGAGCTGGGACTGGTTAATGGTGGTCAGCTGGTTCCGTGACATCATCCCGTTGGGACTGTTCATGTTGATGATTGACTTCATCACCATGGAGGGATTGGTTGGGTACTGACGTATATGACCCGGCCCGACATTCTATAGAGAAATTAATACAAAAGCAAAMATGGGGTTATGAATAAAACATAAATTTTAAACTTGATTTTGGAAATGTAAACACGTGCATCTCATTTCTACTGCTCAAAGACTCATTGACACCCTTCAAATCATGGCCGTGGGTTTCTTTGTCAGCGCAAACCTTTGGTCATTGGATTCCGTGAGTTGTCAGGTGGCAGATCAAATGCCAAAATGTCCWTAAATGTAAATGATAAATTGTCTTGACATACCAGGAGCCAACATATAAAGGCAGAAGTGGATGGTGACAGAGCTCAGTTGGAGAGTAAATCTGTGACACAGCTCAGACCGACCAGCTCCTAAAGGGTAACACTGGAGCTGTCATASATCATTTCAAATGCCAAAGACAAACTTTGTTCAAACTACAACATGCCAGTCTATTACCCACAAACCTATTTTCTTTGGTTAAGGTTGTAAAAGAACTCTTTCATGCTGTGCGTTTTGATTGTCATAGTGTAAAAAAGAAATAAATCAATTCAATCAACTCAACGAATCAGTTATTTGAAGGCTTAATGCTGTAAGAATTTTGGACATGTCCCATCCAGTCTCCCATCCAGAGTTTAATGTAACACTGTTTTCYAAGTCCCTTTCACGTTCTCCAACTAAAACATTCAGCTCTTGAAAGAGCCTTAAAGAAGTTACAGGCAACATGTTTACATTGATTGTGGCGAGGATGAAATTACAAGGTCTGCCAGCTCTCAGGGGGGAAGACTGATCAGAGAGCCAGCAGAGCTGACATGGAACAGAGGAGGAGACGTGAACAGAACAGAAAAGGTGATTTGTTCTCCCTGGGTACATCCATCTGGTATTCAGCAGTGCAAACTCAATCTCTCCCAACATCAACACATCATAAACCAATGCACCTGGCTTTATTGAAAGAACCTTATGAATGCCCGTCTTCCAAAACAATATTGTAACACCATTACAGACAGGCACATATTGGATCTACAATCCATTTCTTTCTCATATGCCATGTCTCCTGCTTATCATAAATACAATATACGAGGTGAGACCAGATTTATATTTACATGTGCGAGCAGGTTTCTGCAAAAGGTGAGACACAGTTTGGATAAGAAATCAAAGGCATACTGTTGTGTTTCTGCGCATTTGGAAATTTGCCAATAAAAGCTGCAATAAACAAACCTGTGACCAAATAACAGCAATTTYCATTTCAGCAACACGTTTTAAGTTCCACTGTCGTCACTGGCAACACAATAGCTCACCATTTGCTCTTTTCTCGCTGTGAACATCAAAGATGCGCACTGAGCTCATTAGTTGTGGCCATCTGTATACAGTAATACTATTAACAAGGAGCAGTTTTGACTTCAACTGGCTTCAACATGAATGTTGTGCTTTAAAAAGAAACATACCAGTGACTACAATCTGACATTTGATTAAAACACGTTCAGCAGCCTGCTAATTAAATTATTTTCCACACCTTACAGGAATAACTAGACTYGAAGTAATTCAGCTGTTAGCACAGGCAGTTGTGTTAGCTGAATGTCAGGGTTGCCACACTTGATTTAAATAAAAAGCATAACAGCTTTTAATGAGCTAGTCAAATAAATAATATTAAGTAGCAAACATCTTGATTGGGAATATGAATCAAAACCTTGGATGTTTACTTCTCTCCCTCAGTTGTCTCATTTGCATTTTGATGGCAGTTTTGCCAGCAGTAACAGCACACATCTAACAGGATATTATGATAGTTGTTAATTTCCAAATAAAATGTTTGTTTTAAGTGCACAGTGGGCAGATGTGATCAATTTATTTAGATTTGTGCGTGTATTGCTTATATATTTACATGTGTGGTAGCAAAAAGAACTGAAATGTTTTTGTCTGATAATTAAATGATTACGAAATGTAAATGTCATATGCAAAATATTCCACGTTGTGTTTTGCTCATGTGGAAAATGAAATAGGATGTGTCCAAATACAGGGGCTGCATCCTTAGGAGGACCCGGTCCTCTGTCAACCGCCAAGACTGGGTGTGAGTGGCTGTGAATTTGGATGGTCTACCCTTCAGATTTATTCCCACCCTTTCCCTGGCGTATGTCCTATCGCCTAGAAAATGTGATGGCGCTAAACAGAAACAATGAAGATCCAAATTAGCTAAATATTTTTGTTAATTTTAGAAATTAACAAATTTAGCTTGGAGGCAATACATGAAAAATGAAGGGACATACCATACAAGCTTGTTTACGATGATTTCTGACAATAATTAAAAAAACATGTTTATGCAAACAACAAAAGCCTAACAATACAACCACTTTAAACTTTAAATAACTGATTGCCAGATTTTAACTTAAAACGGTACTCTCTCTCTCACTTTATTCGTCTTTACAAGCAAAATATCTCCCGGTCAGCCCGCAATGCATCTTGGCATGCATCGTGTAGGCTAAGAAGGATACACCAGATCAATCTCTCAAACTGGGGCAAAAGGATGACGCATTTTTGGGCTGCAAAAAGAGGAGTCTTTGAATTTGCACAGCCTTTGGCACACCACTGTGATGTAATTGTCCTTCAAATATGGCCTGCGAAGGATGCAGCCCCTGAATTTCGACACAGCCATATAAACCAGCAGCATAGTTCTCCAACAACATCCTGCATAAAAAGAAATAAATTACATGTTTTGTGTGTTTTTTGTACATTACAGTTAACCTCAGCCCATTTAACTCAGCAAACACTCCACATAGAGCTACATAGACTAACAAATGAGGACAAAAAAAGTGTGAACCCCTTTTCACCATGAGCACAGGTCAATAAACACAGCAACAGGGCTCAAACGCAGCATTATGCATTCACCAAGTGATATAAATCTTAGCACTGATGTCAATGAAAACAGCCTCCAGTCTTTTCTTTAAGATATTGGAAATCTGAATTTGGAGAGAATTTATGAACAGTAGCACCAAGCTGTAACAGGGCTGAAAAGAATGTTAACAAGTTCAATTTCCATTCAATCAATGCCAGAGCTCTTGGAAATATTCCATGGCAGGAGAGGGGTAAAATCATCTATATGGTAATTATAAGGATGAATCCCCCAGTAACTTTCGCCAGCATGAAAGGTCAGTCCTATTAAAGATAGTTTATCAGCGCTCTGCACATATTTCTTTACTTGGCTTCTAAATGGGTACATCATTTTATTTTCTTCCATTTTTTTGCAAACTGCTGAAGTCTGTGCTTAAGCCAAATGAGAAAAATGGAATACTGAATGTTGCTATAACAGTACAGTGATAAATTGTTTTTTTTTTTCTTTCTATTTTTCCCCCACCTGACCTGTCTCAGTAAAACACACTTTACTGTCCTTCTCTTTCTGATTGGGAGCAAACTCAGCATATCTGTCTCACCCATCCCTAACCTTCACTTAAAAACAAATCTCCATCGCTCTCCACTCTCCCGCCTCGGACTCTMAGGCCAACAGCCTCCCTCCCCTCGGTCTGGTACAGCCGCTGACCCGTACCCCTCTCCACCATCTCTCCCGATGCATTATGTGTATTTAAAACTTGTCCGACATGACATCATTTCAGTTTGAGAACCGTACAAGAAAAGTAAATTACAAAATCAATCATGCAGAAGGTCAAGCTGAGACTTCATTACAAGTATTGCATGCCTGCATGAATATTTTTCATTTCTGACTGACCCAATATGTCACAATTGCTGTCAAGAAAAAAAAGAAAGGGGGGGAAGGGAAAAAAATCCACTCTCCTAAATTGATGTACAACTCATGTCAGTGCTTRTTGGCTTGAAAGGGAGATAAGAGGGATGTGTAGAAAAACATGCTTTCTGCAACAGTGCTTCCATTTTCCATTTCATTCAGGATAAAGTGGGTTTTGACGAGTCAGAACTGAAGGTATTGTACTCACTGGAAATCTACACACTATCAAGAGATATCAAATCAAGCGAACAGCAAACTACAAATGGCTCTTTCAAACTCAGTTTCATCTCGCTAGATGTGTGTAGCTCTAGCACGATGCTATTAAACATTAGCATGTCTTTGCAGCTGTAAGGCTAATGGCATGAGAAACAGCTAGTTATGAATGAAATGYAAACGGCATAATGCGTCACCACATAGTGTTAAATGTAATAAAACAGCGAGGCGCGCCCGCATCCCCCTGAATATTGATTTTAACATCCAATACAACCAGTTGCCTACTGTAGGCTTCGGATCCAATCACCGAGGACACACAGCCCATTTCAGAACACGCTTACATGTGTCAAGAAAACCCTAAAAACGTGGCGAAGGCACCAGGTGTTTTTTGAAATGGAACCCACAGACCCTCGCTGTGAGGCGGGGAGAAAATCGAGAAGAAATTGTGAATAAAGCAGTACTGGCAGCTCTAACTCCAGTACTATTTGGCACTATTGAGACTCAATCACAAATCAGGAGGACACATGCTGCGAGACAAAAATGAGAGTCAGAAGCTTGTTAGGAGAGCAGATTAAATAAATAATGACTTCAGATTCGGGGCTTGCCAGGCAGATTGCAGCTGAGAAAATGTATTTCTCTCTGTAGAAGCCTGGCATCTGTGGCCAATTTGCAAGACATACGCTGAACATTAAGCAGAGAGGAATTAGCAGAACACTTGGCAAAGCAACGACATGCAAGAGGCTTTTTTGAAAATAGCCCAGGTATATTCGCTGCTTCGGTTTCTCATTAACTTGTGATAAAAAACTGGCGTTCATGCTAACTATTCTGCACTAGTAAGCTAGAAAATACAAGAATAAAAAATAAACAAGTGTTTGGGAAATATGAGCATGGAAGCTTGATGAAAAATGTAATTGCAATAGTGTACGGTTTATTTGTTTGCCCCTGCAGCCATAACAAATAACACAGAATGTAATCATGTATATAAGGTTGTCATTCCTTTATCAGTGCGCTGACAAAATGACAAAACACCCCTCTCAGGGCCTGCGTAAATCATTGTCTCTGTGAATGGAATACACTGCAAATGGTGTCGTTACTTATCTCATTTACAAGATGCGTTCTCCTTTCAAAGCAAAAAATAAAGAAATAAAGAAAACCCACAGATAAAAAAAATAGTTTCCATGGGTTTTTGTCACGAGACTTTTGGGGATCAATCCCATTTACAGGAAAAATGAAGGGCCACCACAAGCTTCTCCCTGCGCTACAATGTGCGATGACTGATAACAAGCGAGTGGTGTGCTGGTGACAATGCRACTAGGCAAGGAGCAGAGACCCATATTCTACCCCCTCAGCTTTTAATAGAGTCTCTGCACAATCAGAGACATGAGCCATGCAAATGGTGTTAAAGAGGAATAATGTTTGAGAATCAAATCTAATCCTCCAGCAAGTCGTGAGAACAGTCAGGAATGTAATTGTGTCGAGGTTCCGTTTCATCCAGATGCAGAAAGCTTAACTGACCATGAAATGAAAATTCTTTAGGCAAAAAGCCTTAGGAGGGGCTAACTTACTGTATGCAGTGGAGATATTTTAAGAGTGCAATCATTATARGTGGCAGAGGGAAAGAAGTCGAGAAAAGAGCTGTAAAATTTTACAGTCCCTGCACATATGGGATGTAAATAAATATCTGTAATGTTGCTGCGATTCTCAACAAATGTGRCACGGAGGAAGAGGGTGCCAGGTGTTCTGACACATTTATTTCTCTTATTCTTAAAGATAATAGCACGTCCTCTCGACACAAAGTAAATGAAGCATCAATATCATCATGTTCTTGCTCTTCCCTTTGTTCTTTGATTTCCTCTCTCCTAAATGAATTTTCCATTTGTGTAATAGGTCTGTAAGAAAATTAGTCAACCGGTGACATTTTCCCCCCCCCCCCCCCCACCCTCCTCACTGCTTCTATGATTGTGGCATTTAAAAAATGCCTTTCTACTCGTAGACAACAATCAGACAACCTGCAGCACTGTAGCAACAATAAAAAAAAGAGATAATTCCTTTCTATAGTTATACAATTGACCATCTGGATTATGTGGAAAGACGGCAAGGCAAACCTTTACATTGAGATCTCGCTATGGGGATAAATATTTACACCCCAAAAAACAAAGCTGATGCTACACCCTTGACATACCACGTGTTGTTTCTTGAGACCTTTTGTGATTGTGGACTGAAGCACGGATCAGTATTTGCAGAGGTTAAAAAAGGCTTTGAGAAGTAACATGAATTAAATATGAGCATGTGAAAATGTTGCAGTTATGGGTGCCGTTTTTGCCCTCCTTCCAGGGATGCGCTTTTTACTTTAACACCTGTGATCTGTCCACCTTACAGAAGGGAGTCATCCACACTCTGGGTGATTTTTCTTCTTCCTTTTTTACCTCTTTTCAAAACCTAACAATAAGTAACATGATCATGACAGTTACTCAGTGTGATTATATACGTTCTGTGTTGTAAACAAGGCCAGATGCTGTGCCAGATGTGCTGACAATGAGAGGTGTACAAAAAACGGTAAAGGTGACATGTGTAAGAAAAAAAGGGGTAGCTCAGTGGAAGACCAAAATTACTGGTTCTCGAAACTATAGGCTTCTAAATAACATATTTTAGTTTAGGTACATCATCAAAAGCCTCATCTAAAGCTGCACCTGCAAGAAGAGCAAATACAGGATGTCTATGTGGCAAACACAACGAATAGACTCACCACAGGCTGGCCGTTGTTGACAGACACCCCTTCTTGGTCCATCATGTTGCGTGAGATGGTAATCGAGGGCAGATCTAGACTCTGTGGGGGGAACTGAGGGATTATTGGACCCCTGTGTGGAGCAGGGGGTTCTGGCATTGCTGGGAATGGTGAGTTCACCTCTGGTCCAAGACTGGATTCTGTCTCAGGTGGAGGCGTGATGGGAGGAATCTCAAACTCCTCGTCCCCCAAGCTGGGCGTATGGAAAGTCTGCAAAAAAGACAAAGAAATAGGAATAAAATTAAAAAGACAAACTAGCCAGGAAGCGTTTGCTGAGGTGGGTCTTATTTAAAATGCCGGAAGTACACCTTCAGGGATTAAATCAAACAACTCATCTTGAAAGAAGAGTGTTTTAGTAGAGTGATAATGCACTTGTCTGAAAGAGCAAAAAAGATTGAACATTTCCTAAACCTACTGA